TCTTTGGGATGGCACAATAAAGCGACGTTCACTTGCAGAACGCAAGCTTCTAGAGGGCACATAAGTCTGAAGTAATGAATTTAGGTAAAGGGGTGCAGAGCCAGTGGTAGTTTTGTAGGAAAACATCAATGCCTTGAATTTTATGCGAGCAGCTATTGGTAGCCAGTGCAAATTGATAAACAGAGGTGCGACGTGTATTCTTTTTCGCTCATTAAAAATTAATCTTGCTGGATTAATTGTAAAGGTTTGATAGAACTGGCTGGAAGACCTGCCAAGAGAGCATTGCAATAGTCCAGCCTGGACAGAACAAGAGCTTGAACAAGGAGTTGTGAAGCATGTTCCGAAAGAACGGGCCTGATCTTCTTGATGTTGAATAAAGCAAATCTGCAGGACCGGACAGTTTTAGCAATGTGGTCTGAGAAAGTAAGCTGATCATCAATCATAACTCCAAGATTTCTGGCTGTTTTTGAAGGAGTTATGGTTGATGTGCCTAACTGGATGGTGAAATTGTGATGAAACGATGGGTTTGCTGGAACCACAAGCAGTTCTGTCTTGGCAAGGTTGAGTTGAAGGTGATGGTCCTTCATCCAGCAAGAAATGCCTGTTAGACAAGCTGAGATGTGAGCAGCATCTCATACATCCTAGATACATACTAGATACATCTAGATAAATCTAGATAAATCCCAAACTTCAAAATTAACAGGAGTGTTTACCAAAGGGGCATATTGGTTGCAAAACCTCATATGGGCCCACCCAACGTGGATACAATTTGTTGTGGCGGTGGGCAGGATAATCCACTAAAACCAAGTCACCTCTGTTATATGGAGTGTATTTCAAATGACAATCATAGTTCAGGCATTGTTGGTCTTGAGCCTTGTCTCGGAAAGCAGTTGCAGAACGATAAGCACAGGCCAGTCTCTTGCGCAATTTGCTAGCATATGCTGCTGGTGTGCCTGTTGTTGCTGAACTGGAAGCATTATTGTTCTGGAGTAGCGTGTCCAAGGGAACGCGGGCTTCCTGGCCATGAGCCAGAAAGAAGGGTGTCAGTCCTGTGCTAGTGTGCTTAGTGGTGTTATAAGCCAATGCAACCTGCGGGAGGTGCTCATCCCACTCCGTACCTGAGACAAAAAGTTGTTTGGAAAGTTCATCTTTTAGAGTGCGATTAAAGCGCTCAACAGCTCCGTCGCACTGAGCATGATAAGGGGACGTATGGAGCTTCTTGATTGACAACAAGTTACAAAGGTGCTTTATGAGGTCAGATTCAAACTGTCTGCCCTGATCCGAGTGTAGGGCCTCAGGGACACCATGCTGTGGAATGTAGTGGTCAAATATACAACCTGCTACAGAGACAGCTGTCTGATCTTTTAATGGATAGAGATTGACAAACTTGGTGTACAGGTCCATCATTATTAGTACATAGCAGTTACCCTTGGCCAGACCATAATGACCCACTGATGGGTGTCCATGACATGACTGAGTATTTCAGGAATCAATGATGTAGGAAAGACCACCTGCAAGGCATTATCACCAAAATAGTTGCGTAAGTGTCTGCATAACACCCCATTGTGAATGATGAGGCTACTAAACCGTGTCCACAGTTTTCTGAGGTATGGGGAAGCATCACGTAGCCTCCATAAGGGTGGTCTACGCCCTGTTTCTATCCAAGAGATAACAACAACTAAATCTGGATCTGACCTTTGTTTTTCCATCACATCCCAATCACTTTGAATTAGAACGAGATTTGATGTTGTGTGACTAGGAACAGTCGTGGGCAAAAGAATATTTTTGTTCATTGGCAATGTTTTGGTGTGTGCTGACACCGGTTTTGCTTGCAAAGGTATTGATGTGGTCTGAGCTGCTACTGAAATGGTGGACACATCACCCCGAGAGCAACTATCAGATTCCACAGGATTAGTGCCTGGCCGCCTAGACATGGCTCCATCACGATGAATGACATGCCAAACATAATGGTCCAATTCTATGGCCCAACGAGCTCGTCTACCCGTAGGGTCATGATCTAAAGGAAGTTTCTTAAGACCAACCAGAGGCTTGTGATCCGTAATTATAGTGAACGAGTGACAAGCAAGATAGTGTTGGAAGTGGCGAACCGACCACACAATGGCATACAATATGTCTGCGATAACTGGAATGTCTGTATTGTGGACTGGGTGAAGGTGAGCGAGCATAACAGGTTCCATGTTCACGGTCGAGATCAGGCCGGCGCTCCTGTGAAGGCGAGCGGCCAGACCTGGAGTTTCCATGATGTCTGTGGGGGGGGTGTATTCGTCAGATTGTGTGGTGTGAGGAGTGTGTGACTCATGACTACGGGATGAATTAGAGTAGCTACAATGTCTACAAGGTACAAAGCTCTACCTCCTTTAGTGGACTTTGCTCTCCTAGGTACTACCAAAAGTCCAGAGTTTTGCGACCTGGTCAGTAACATCACTTTAAGGTACGATATCTATATCAGTAAGATCATATCCATGTGATATAATTAAATCTAGCATATGATTAAAACGATGAGTGGGCCCGGTGACATTTTGCTTGACTCCAAAAGAATTTATTAGGTCAGTAAACGCAAGTCCTATTGCATCATTTGTATTATCAAAGTG